CTCAAAAACTTACAAGAAAGTAGCTTCCCAATAAGAAAGTAACTTGACTTCTCAAAAACTTACAAGAAAGTAGCTTCCCAATAAGAAAGTAACTTGACTTCTCAAAAACTTACAAGAAAGTAGCTTCCCAATAAGAAAGTAACTTGAGTTTGCAGTAATGTAGAAGAAAGTAACTTCTCAATAAGAAAGTAACTTGAGTTCTCAGTAACGTATAAGAAAGTAACTTCCTAATAAGAAAGTTACTCCCCAATAAGAAAGTAACTTCCATTGGCACGTTATCTGTAGCAGTAAGGGAGAAAGATACTACTAAGCCCTGGGGCATTGAAAATGTCTGCCATATGATTTCCCGCTATTCGTACGCCCTTGTGGGGGGGGGCACTTTGTACCCCCGGGGTTGTATTCTTCACATTTAAGAATACTTCTAGTGCGAAGATCTCTTTGAAACTTTCAGTTTTTCTCAAAAAATTATTTTGATAGACTGCTATTCAAAGCGTACAGATCGGATTAATGAGTAAATGTCCTCTTTGGAAAGTGGGGGCACAGAGTTCCCCACGTCGTATGGATATGATAGTAAAACATGACGTACGGATAGGGTTACAAATGTTCCTGCTTTGGTAGGTTTTTCAATTCCAAAGCAGTACTGTGAAGGGAATGTTCATATTTATCAATAATGTCTTGTGCTAATTTTCATATTCACGTCCAATGTCTTGGACTAATTTTCATATTTCTGTTTAATCTTGAGCTAAGTTTCATTGCTGAGTGTAATGTCTTATGCTAATTTTCAAATTCAAATTCATCTTCAATGTCTTATGCTAATTTTCAAAATCATCTTTAATGTCTTTTGCTAATTGTCATATTTCTTCAGTATTTTACGCAAATTTTCATATTGATCTGAATAATCTTATCGTCATTTTCCTATTCATCATCAATGATCAATGACATGTGCTAATTTTCCAATTTATCTACACAGTCTTGTGGGTACTTCTGAAAGATGTGTCAATTTTGTTGTTTCAGCGGCGAGTACGCCCTCAAGGAGTACACGGAGGTCAAGACGGTGACCGTGCAGATACCCCAGAAAAATTCTTAAATCCCGATGGAGGTTTCTCCACTTCAACAGACGTGGAGCCATTTCTGTTTGCGTGTGGTTTTGCAAACACGATAAACTCTGCGCTGCTGTCGGCTGAGGAAAAGGCCTTTGTTTTCATTTTTGCCACCAATTTTTGACATTTGCAAAATCGAGAGCCTGATCAGGAACCCTACTTGTGTGAAAAAAAATCAAAGTGAAATTTTGACTAGTTTATGAATAAATTAGAATTCAACTTTCGGAAGAACGTCTATTGTTTAATTGTTACACACTGACATAATGCCTTTTTTCTCAAAACTACGGTGAAAAGAAAAGATAGCGAGTTGTCAGTGGACAGAAGTGCTGTAGTAACAACTTCTTTGTGCTGCTGTTTTTGGGGAAGTGCGCTGTTCATTTTTTCTTTCTTTCTTTTTTACATGTCCTGTACATTCTAATCCTTACAATACCGAACTATTTTTAGCCCTCGTGACATCCCTGTGGCCTAGGTAATACTGCAGTCCTTGGCTCCTTCTCAGGCCCAGCTGATACTGACTGTGTCTTTCATTTTTTTCAGACATTAATGAAATCGCGCTCATATGACCTGATGCAGTTGCAAGCACCGTTAAACACTGACCAAACATTATTGAAACTTCTGCTCTGCTTTTGATTGAAGTTTTTAACCATAAAATGTGGAATGTTTTTCCGAGGCAATTGAATAAAGGGTTCCCGCGGCCTCCTTGAATTCAAGGAGTCCTTGAAAACTGCTTGAATTTGCATTCAAGGGAAAATGTCCTTGAAAACTCCTTGAATTTTGCCAGATCGGACAGGAACACAGGGTGACTGCCAGGCCCCGGGAATCCAGGAGGCCCCTGGAATTACCCGGTCGTGATTGTGATATATTATTATAATATTCGTTCGGCTTTCCCGGGCCTGAGAGTACGTTACATGCGTACATGCAGTAATGGCGGCAACAAGTGGAAGTATGTGCGATACCGAAGCTCGATCGGGAAAATCAGGATCTACTTTCGCTTTTGTTACCACTCAGAAATTTGCCGGTAGGGCCTATAGTAGTCTGATAACGCCACATTTGTAACATGCAGGTTCTGCATTACATACGCTGTGTCGCCATGAAAATAAATCGTTTGTCCTGTGCTGTCACTTGTGGGAAAAAAAAGAAAGTTATACAAGCTTCTTGTTGGGCTCGCCATCGTGACCTGTCATTGAACCTGTGCGTTTTCGTCACATCGTGAGTTTCGGCGATGGTTGAGGTCACCAAAGTTCATGCAAAGTCAGAGCGCTGCGAAGTATAGGACTCGGGAATGGGGGATTATTGATTTTTTTAAAGACGCACGCGGGGGAGGGATGGGGTTGAAGGCAACACCGGGTGTCAAAAACTAAACTTGGAAGCAGATTTTACTTTTCAGAATTTTGGTTACTATTATACTGGATCTAGATCAAGATCTAGATTCTAGAGCTCTCTGCAATACGCGCGTTGGTGCAGGCCTTGTGTGGAATCGGGATCTGTCACTCTCAAATCTTGTAAACCATCTTTTTTTCAACTAAAGGGTTCCCGTTTCATGGGGTAGGTGATAGTAAATTATGATAATATGTATTGTATGTTCTATATTTTAGCTTTTTGTTCAAGATTCGCAGATTTTCAGTGTCACTGCATCTTGCCCTCCCATGTACATCGCTTGTGCTCATTTAGGTGCTTATTTTAGTTATTGAAAATATGGTATATGTTGCACAGATAAAGGAAGTCTTTGTTTTCAAATTTTATGTGCAATAATATTCCTATTCCCTCTCCTTGTTTAGAACTCATCCCAGTACAAGCAACTGTGTATTGTATTGATAGTTACAAAATACAAGGAATGAAAGGAGAGCCATGATCGGTGATGTCTGTAGTAGTTTTTGCATTTGATGAGGATAAATTACAGCTCAATGAATCTGCTGCAGCAAGTGTATGTTTGAAAGTGAAGAATACTATACTGGGTACCTTCTTATCTAAAAGACTTAAGAATATCAATAAAATAGAAATACTATGCACTATGCAAGTGAAGACGTTAGTTTTGAGATAGGCTGTGAAAGTTTCCTTCTGAGGAGTTGATTTCCATTTTTTTGTAATATGTGAAACTACGTTGGAGTGTTGGTCTTTGTACCTTAATCTGAATCTTCCTGTCCCCGTTGTTTTAGGCAAGAAAAATTCAACCCAACCCTGTCTAAATCTACCTATAAAGCCAGGCGACCCCACCTTCTTCAATCTCAAATATTTCGACTTCTATTCAAGATACATGGGCCTTTTTTCCACCAACAGCAAGACAATTAAACTGGCTTTGACGAGCGCCAGATTCCACCACGTTATTTGTGACCCAAATGTTTGGTACATAAATAAACAGATCCTAAATTTGACAAAATGTACGGTTGATTCTGCTTGATTCTGCCTGTGTTGATCTTTGATTAAGTTGGTCTTTTTCTCAGGTCCCAATACCTCTTCCTCTTTACAGGTCCCAACTGTTAAGTTGATGAACTTGAGATGAGTTGATTTTTTTTTCACTCCCTCAACTTATCCATAGAGTCAACTGTAGTTTGGAAAAACATGGTGATTTTTTATACCCCCTGTCGACGCAATCACTGGACAATCATTAAAGACAGTGAAAATAAAATAGAAGCAACAGAAATGTGGTTTCTTAGGAGACTGCTAAGAGTATCGGGGAGGAAAAGAAATCAAATGAGGTAGTGCTTGATGAAGCCCACGTGGGACGCTCAATGTTAAAAACAAGCAGGAAACGACAAATGCAGTTTTTTGGGACACATATATAGACATAAGGGTCTTGAACATCTAGCTCTCACTGGCAAAATTGAAGGCAAGTGAGGCAGGGGTAGGCCCAGAGCAACTTACTTAGAGAACCTAAACAAAGGGGTAACAGGGAAAGATCAGGGAAACGTAGCTTTTTTGAGATCATCCGAGCAAAGGAATGAATGGAGATCCATGATCGCCGATGTCTGTCGCAGATCTGGCACTGGATGATGATGATCAACACAAGTTAGATCACTTATGAGGTGGGCTTCAACCCCGCTTGTCAGGGCCAACCCAGGCTGAGAGGGATACACCCCGGCAGACAGACCCAGGCTGAGAGGGATACACCCCAGCAGAAAGGTTGAGATACTCAATACATGTAATAGTTCTCCCCATTAGAGAATTGAACTCAGGTCTCTTACGTGGGACAGCGAAGCACCTGAGTGCCTCACCACAGATGCTGTTAGCACACAGTTCATGATATTTTGAGTTTGAATAAAGAGAAGTACAGGAGGCTCTCGAGGCCTACAGGTTCGGTTAAGGTGTTAGTCTCTCATTCACTAGGTCCCAGGTCCGAAGTTAAAATCCGGATATCGACGCGGAAAATTTTCTTCTTTCACATCCTTTCCTGCCCTCCAACAATGTTCTGTCGTCTACTTTTGCCCCCTCGTCTGAGCTCCTGGCTCTTTCTGCAGCTTTTCTACTGATGCTACTCTTCGATTCCTTACTGCTGCCTTTCAACAACACCTCTGATCTTATTGTTGGAAAAATCTACACCTAGCCTTTTCAGATAAGGGCGAAAACTCTTTTGGAGGCCCTGTGTGCAAGCTGCGCACTTTAAAGATCCCTTGGTGGTCCAAATGGATAGGAGTAGGCTTTGGCTGCCAACCAGGCAAGATTAAAAATTTCTTCTAACTGAAAATGTTTAATGTGTCCCGCGTGCTTACAATGTATGACCTTCATGCGGTTGCAAACACCGTACTAACCACAAAATGTTTTTTGACGAGAGAAGCAGTCGCACAATTACACAACAACATTTACTGCCGGGGAAAACAGTAAGCAAGACAGACAGGCAACCTTGTTGAACTCTTTAGTTTTAGTAAGTGTTTTACGGCACTTGAAACACAATACGATCATATTAGTGCCGAAGATTAGACTAATTCGAGGTGAACATAAGAGAGTAACACACGCAAAAAAGGAGGGGAGATAAGGATGATAAATGCTTGGTAGGAAAGGAGCAAACCACACCAGAGCACCCGCCAACCACCCACACTTTCTCTCTTCTTGTGCACTGTCCGACACACAAAGCATAGGGCAGTCGATGCCATGCTAGTCTGTCCTGGTCACTTCCTCTGACTTTGACACATCCAGCCCTTGAGAGATTGTCTATTCCCTGACCAGATTTCTACAACTGTCCATTGATCTCCTTCCTTTTCTAATCTTCTCCTTTTATTAAAATAATGAAGGCTGCATTGATAACTTTACTACGAGCTCTTTCCAGAGGATAAATATAGGGAGGGTAAATAAATGGCGTCCACCGGTGGAAAGTTCCTACAAAGTACTTGTAGTACTAGTCCACCACAAAGACAAGGAAAATGTGTCACAACATGTCCACAAACACAAGGAAAATGTGTCACAACATGGCCACAAAGACGAGGAAAATGTGTCACAACATGGCCACAAACACAAGGAAAATGTGTCACAACATGGCCACAAAGACAAGGAAAATGTGTCACAACATGGCCACAAACACAAGGAAAATGTGTCACAACATGGCCACAAACACAAGGAAAATGTGTCACAACATGGCCACAAAGACGAGGAAAATGTGTCACAACATGGCCACAAACACAAGGAAAATGTGTCACAACATGGCCACAAAGACAAGGAAAATGTGTCACAACATGGCCACAAACACAAGGAAAATGTGTCACAACATGGCATATTGAGCGGTGGCTATCATCTCAACATTTTTTCATTTCTCTTGTTTTTGATGAGGCAAATGGCTATCTGCAGTGGACTGATGAGACAAATAGCTATCTGCAGTGGACTGATGAGACAAATAGCTATCTGCAGTGGACTGATGAGACAAATAGCTAACTGCAGTGGACTGATGAGACAAGTAGTTATCTGCAGTGGACTGATGAGACAAATAGCTAACTGCAGTGGACTGATGAGACAAGTAGTTATCTGCAGTGGACTGATGAGACAAATAGCTAACTGCAGTGGACTGATGAGACAAGTAGTTATCTGCAGTGGACTGATGAGACAAGTAGCTATCTGCAGTGGACTGACTGATGAGACAAATGGCTATCTGCAGTGGACTGACGAGACAAGTAGCTATCTGCAGTGGACTGATGAGACAAATAGCTATCTGCAGTGGACTGATGAGACAAATAGCTATATCTGCAGTGGACTGATGAGACAAATAGCTATCTGCAGTGGACTGATGAGACAAATAGCTATCTGCAGTGGACTGACTGATGAGACAAATAGCTATCTGCAGTGGACTGACTGATGAGACAAATAGCTATCTGCAGTGGACTGATGAGACAAGTAGCTATCTGCAGTGGATTTGATTTCATTATTTTGACAAACGATTTCATCACAATGCCACACAATTGAAGAAACACACACACAGAAATATATTTTTCCTCTCACTTTTTAAGATTTTATTGTTGTTCTGATCTGACTAACTATACACAGACAAACATCACAATACAAAGTTAATGCAAATGTGCAGAACTCACTTCTTCAAGTGGAAATGAAAATGATTCATGGTCATAAAATAAAGCTATGGCCTCAGCTTGAATAGATAAGAACAAATTTCTCTACACACTCGCCCCGCATGCTGTGAAACATACAAGGCATGTCCACCACGTGGACAGAAAACAGATGGTAATATTCTCCCCCATGTAAGAGCAGAACTGCCAACTTTTCCAAACCAAAACAACAAGTGCTGGGTCCAAACCAACAACAATAGGCTTGTAACAAGTGCTGGGTCCAAACCCTTCACAGACATTTTTTTAACATTTACTACCTTTTAGCAATTCAAAATAGACCAGCAGCAATCTCCCCATCTGACTTATGGCTTGCATTTTCATTCACTTTCCGGTCTCGAAACTCCATAATTTTCTTTCAGCATTGGCAAGCCTATGAGGAGCTAAACTGATACTAGAAAACAGAAGACGTATTTTCCTTTTCCATTTTCTTTATATGATAACGGACCCTCCGAAAAGTATTCCTTTTATTTCTCTACTGGTTGGCAGCTATGTGAGAGGACAGACGACGTATCTTTGAGCAAGAGGATGAAGCTGCTCTCGACAGAACAGCTGGGAAATTAGCATAAGTATATACGAGATACTCTAAGTCCTCTTTGCTAACCACAAACAACTGATTTCTGGGTGTAACCTGAGAGAAAATGAACAGCAGCTATCGAGTCCCAAAGGCATCAAGAAAGAAAAGAGTTCAAGCAAAGTCAAATATTGAAGTGAGGTGCAAACATGACAAAATGGAATAAATAGAGATATTACTCTGAATATCTAATACATGATTCAATACAACGAATAGTGCACACAAATCACACGTTCCAGTTTCTACATCCCACATCTAGCTTGATCCACATTCATCATTTGTGGGAGAAAAAAAAATATTTTAAAAAAAAAAGGAAAGAAAGAGATCACAGTTAATTGCTACGGTGATTTCCCCATGACATAGACAAACAGAAATATGAGGACAGAACAGATCATGTCCATCAGTTTTACCATGAGACCAAAGAAATTCTTTTCCGGCTGTCCAAATCACCAGAATTGAGGTGTCTTTCTTCCTCAGCACATTCAGCACGCTGGCATCCATCAGACTAGAACTCTCCGCCGTCTCCTCACTTCCAACATTCAAAAGAGTGCACACCACACCAAGCATTCTCCCACAAACCTTTCTCTATCTCCTCCAGAGTTGACAGTTTACATTTTCACTTACTTTCAATAAGACAGACAAAAAACATCATACCGCAAACTTTTTCTATCTCTTCAAAAATTAACATTTTCACGTGCTTGGAACAAAACATTATAAATTCAATGAATATGACACGGCCAAAACCCAAATCTGAAAAATGTTCAACAATCAGATGCTGCTTTCTGTATGCACTGATTTCACATTCTCAAAGTGTATACGTTTTCCTCCCGTAAAGAGTACGCTCATACTTCAGCCTAAAAGAAAGTCTTTGTTGTTAGCGATCCAGAAAAGAAAGTCTTTCCAATCTTTTAATTCATTCAAAAGACAGCTCAAGTTATTTCTCTTTCATATATATCAGGATTTTTAGTCAGTCAACTCTTTACCTCAAAACATCATTGAGACAGATGTTGTACAAGGATTCATTCTTCCTTGCACTCCATTCTTCCCGCAGCTCAACACCTGTATATATACACGTACAAGCAGTCACATAAAAATCTCTCACAAATTCTCGTCAAAACGCAATTCATGGAACAGACAGAGAGGGAATGTTACAGTTACACCTGACCAAAATAATATACAAAAGAAAGGTCAGGCACAAATTCACATACACATAGCCACATACATGATACATACACATACATGATACATACACATAGCCACATACATGATACACACACATACATGATACATACATAATACATACACACACCCACATACATGATACATACACATACATGATACATACACATAGCCACATACATGATACATACACATAGCCACATACATGATACATACACATAGCCACATACATGATACATACACATACATGATACATACACATAGCCACATACATGATACACACACATACATGATACATACATAATACATACACACACCCACATACATGATACATACACATACATGATACATACACATAGCCACATACACGATACATACACATAGCCACATACATGATACATACACATACATGATACATACACATACATGATACATACATGATACATACACATACATGATACATACACATAGCCACATACATGACACATACACATACATGATACATACATGACACATACATGATACATACATGACACATACATGATACATACACATACATGACACATACACATACATGACACATACATATACATGATACACACACATACATGACACATACACATAGCCACATACATGACACATACACATACACGACACATACATGACACATACACATACATGACACATACACACACCCACATACATGACACACACACATATTTGTGAAAATTGTACTTGTGTAAATACAAATGAGAACAATATGCCCACAACTTTTACACACACCGACATTTGGTCAAACTTTTGCAAAAATGACTTCATATTTACCATATATATATATATATACCACTGGCATTGTGCTAAGGAGGAGATGAATACATAAATATTGACAAATTCATGCCTAGCTGGAACCAAAATTTTTTTTTTTTTTAAAGAAAAAGGTTTCTTATGAAGATGATAAAGCTTTCTTTGTTCTTAATGACACGAAACCTCCCTTACACCAGCACTGTACTGGTACCAACAGATGTAAACATAACAGTAAGATGTAAACAAAGTCTAGGCTGATTAAATAATTTGAAAGTAAACTATGAGTAAAATCCATCCAGACCGGGTAATTTGTATGGAACTCCTATTTCACCGAAATCGACCCTCTAACAAAACATCACATTTTTGCTCTAGAGATCTACAATCTGACCAAAAAGAACCCCCCCCCCCCCCCAAAGAAAAAAAAAAAGAAAAGAAAGGGTTGGGGCCCCGAGCGTTTCAATTTCGAGCCTATTTACAAAAATAGTTGGGTGTTTAGATTTAAAAAGGGAAAAAAACCAAAAAAACCCAGAAAAAACGCTCAAGCTAAACAAGAGAATTTAATTGTTCTTCTTAATTTCGTCCTGTGGTACTCTGTACAAGATGGACTCCAGGTTGGGGTTCATGTTCCAGATGCCGTAGGCGACCAAGAAGACAGCGATGAACAACACCACCATCATCCACAGGACAATGTTGAAAGTCACGGGGAAATCAGCGTAGTAGTCGATCTCCAGGTTCAGATTCCCGTACTGAACCAGACAAAAGACACCAGAGCAAAATGAGAACATGACATGTATTCTTGTGGTACATCTTAACAGGAGCAAAATGAGAACATGACATGTATTCTTGTGGTACATCTTAACAGGAGCAAAATGAGCACATGACATGTATTCTTGTGGTACATCTTAACAGGAGCAAGGAGAAAAACAAACAAACAAACAAAACAAAAAACAACCATATGACTAAAGGAAATGATGTCTTAGAAGTCTTTCTCGAACGTGCATTCTTGTGGTATGACTAGGACTAATAAACAGCATGAACCCCCCTCCCCCCCCCCAATAAAAAAACAAAACATGACAAAAGGACATGTCTCAGAACTCTCCCCTGGGAAAAACAGTCAAATAAAAAGCACCCCCCCCCCACACACACACACACACAATAAGGTTTTGTAAACAAACAATGACACATCCACTCTCCAGACTGTGAGTCTAACCACAGACATGGCAATGACCAAACTTGGCTTCAAATAAATCCCAAAAGTCAGAATCCTGTTGGTTTCTTCAAATAAAAACCTCTCTCCTTAACTTACTTTACTTTTCCAATCCAGCGGCCATTTGAGTTCTAGCCCTTCGGCCTCTTCTTAACGTTAACAGGAGAACTCATTTATTAGACATAGAGGCAACCTCACACACTAAGGAGGAAAATTAGTTTCAGGAAAAAAGAAAAGGGAATTTGGATTTGAGCACATCATCATCTGTTCACGACCGTCAAGAGACATTTACGGTAAATGAGCACTGCAACTTAAAAAGTTCTTTTGTAATCCGTTCTAACTTCAACCCTTCACGTTCAAGGCGGAACACGAATGAAATCCCATTCATCTCATCAGCTTTCAAAAATATGAGCCATTGCCAAAACGTGGGGAAAAACACACACATCTCACAAAAGTGTGCATAAAATGTGATGTATTAGTATTTATTCCTCCAAAACTTATACACACGTCAAATATAGGATGTAGAACCTGCATTAGCAGTTTCAGACCCCATGTCAGCTTTACAATCTTGAGTTTGCACATTTTGTGCCAAAAATGTTCGTTTTTTTGTGATTCCTGGAGTGTCATTTTGAGCACACCAATGCAAACTTCCAAGAATGTCCAAAATTTAGTATTTTTGGGTGTGTTTTTTTTACGTGTGCTTTGATCCTATGTTATTTGTCATTGAGAAAGGTTAACTTGCTCAAGAAATCGGTTTATTTGTTTGCAAATAGACGAACAGTTCGGATTACTTGTGCGTCTGTCGTGTCGTCATGGACTAGGTGTTTCAGAAAACACCATTATTTTTCAGTAGAATCACCATAGCTGGTTAAATCTCTTTGCCTATCATCGTTTATTCAATACTTTAAAAGCCGCGATGCGCGAAAGGAACATCGGGTTCCTAGATCTACGATTTCGGTCGGCTGTTGAACATCCGCCGTTATTGTCGTCAACTTGCGAATTTCGCCCACTTTTGTTTTGAACGGGTCATCAAAAGTGCCCGGATATAATTGTTTTCTTGGGTGACTTCCCCTTCCCCGCGTCCCCAGAACAACGGAAGCAACGGGGGAAACAGAAAAACGAAAGTAGTCATTGCCTTCAGCGTCCGGTGACGCACAAGTATTTTGCGTTGAATGTGACGTACTGGGCTGTTTTGCGTGTTTTTAGGCTACTCTGTTGAATATTTTAGTGAAATTGCGGTGTTTACACTGGATTCCTGGAACAAGAGTGTGATGTGTGAACAAACTTCGAGAGATGGATCATTTTTGTGGCTATAGATTTAGCTTTTGTGCTCAGTGATGACGTTTGGGGTGTCGTCATGCAGCCGTACAAGACTGACTAACGTACAAGAAATTACATTGTCCTAAGAGCAAACATTTTTTAAGTAATGTGTGCTCTCTTTACTCAAACAAATAAACATGTCCTTGTTAATCTGTCTAACTCAAAAATACACATTTGTTCTTTGTTGGTATGATATACCTTTTTCCAATACATTGTGTCATCATTGTTATGTACAAGTAAAATTTTTCATAATTGCTAATATCAATAAGTTTTCAACATATATTTCATACATGCAAGATTCATTTAGAAGCAAAATACGCCTTTATTGATCTGTGTATCTCTTAGTGCAAATTTGTTCTTTGTAGGCATGATTTTACCTTTTCCCAGTATGTTTTGTCATCACTGTTATGTACGAGTACTGTTTGTCATAATTAGCCACATAATTGTGATCGTCCACTGTCTTTGATATGACCTGATATCTGTTTCAAAGCAAAAGAAACCTCTCCTGGTTTTTTTTAAATTCTTAAAGTGCGCTTTTATCTCTGGAGACAAGACTTTTGTCTTTTCCTGTACATTGTGTCATCATTGTTATGTACAAGTCATGTTTGTCATCACTGTTATGTACAGGTCAGCTCAATTGATTTTGTGCTTTTGCCTCATATTAGTTTAAAAATTGTTTTACACATGTGTTTTTCTGGTACTGAGGCTTTGATAACTGTATCTGTACAGCCTTTCACTATTGTGATGTGTTGTCAATGATAATGTCCAATGTGTATCCTTTCTTGTACATAACAATGATGACATGTTCTGTGCACTGCGTCATTGTTACAAAGCTTGTCATTCATATTACCATTATGAATGGAGTTCATAGTGTACAAAGTCTTTGTTTACTAAACAAATGGAATTTAAAGTCCATTATTTGCCTTGCTGATAAATCTGTTTTTGTCATCACTGTTACATACAAGAAATACAGTAGTTGCCAAACCAATAGACCCTATCTCCAAAACCGTACATCTCCTTGCTCTGATACTCTAGGAATATGAGCACTAAATGTCAATCTGTGACTGACAGAAAAGAGTCAAATTGGTAAGAAAATTTATTTTTGCACCACTGAGTCTCAAGAGAGTCTCACGTTTTGGCAATTGCTCATATACAAGCTCCAACAATCTTTTATTTTCAGTCCTGGAAAGTGTGAATAATTATAATAAAAATAATAGACAGCATTCATATTAGCACACATCCCTATTCAACAAGCTCTGTGCGTTTTACAATCATTATAATAACCCCAGGAGACCCTAGAAGACTTAGAAACATTCTCAGTTTCCCGGGAAGCATACAAAGCAAGCAGCCCATTAAGTGCTCAAACATGAACAAAATCCCCTCCCTCCATACTCATTCACAAATGGACTATGTGGGTAAAATTACAGTAAAGTCCCTTTCCCAATACGCAATGTCGGCCCTCTTATGGGGTTTGAACATACAAACTTTCAGTTGCGAGCCCAACAGCCAAACTAATACAGAGATGCCAACCACAGAAAACCTAAATGAGTATTGGGAAATATGAAAATGTGTATTTTCAGGGGAAAATGTGTATTCCCCACGACCGACCGACCGACCAGTAATAGTCAAATGTTAAAGGGGTCCAGCAATATTTCCTGAACAAAAATTACGAGCTCACCGGCTCGAAAAAGGGAGCACACACGCGTACAATATACATGTATCCAGTCAACAACATGTCAGTGTTCAGTGTCGTACTGGGGTCTTGTTTGACTTAAATATTTCAGTCTATTATACCGCTAATATTTTCCTCTCATTATCATGTAAAAAATAAATCCTGCTTTGAGAGTTCGGAAGAGCCTAGAACAAAAATTTCGACAAGCAAGAACCAGTCTGGGTGTCATGATTCACATTATGAACTGACAGACTCAAATTATTGCTCAAACTCAGAGAAAAGCGATAACTTGAATGACTCAAGTAGACCCATGCACTGTGAGAGTTGTAATAGCTGAGGTAGGGCAAGATGTAGTGACACTGAAAATCTACCAGTCTTGAACAGAAAGCCACAACATACACTGCAGGCTAGGTATATTTACTATCACCCATCCAATGAAACGCGAACACATTATTTCAATAACACAGACTTGCAAAGTTTGAAGGGTCCCGATTCCGCACACGGCCTGCACCAACGCGCGCTTTGCAGAAAGCTCTAATAAAAATTCTGAAATGTGCTTCCAAGTTTTTGTCCTCTGGTGTTGCCTTCACACCCTCCCCCATAATATCTTAAAACCCCCCAAAAATCAATAATCTCCTCCCCTATTCCGTAGTCCTATACTTCGCAGCGTCCGTTACTCCCACCAAAGACGGTCTTTGCTCACACGATGCCGCATTTATTTATGACACGAATGCGCGCAGGTTCAGTGACCGGTCACGATGGCGAGCCAGACAATCTAAAAATCGGACTACGCTTGTATTTTCTTTTCTTTTTTTTCCACAAGTGACAGCACAGAGGCCAGTCCGAGCATTGATTAAATTTTATTTACACAGCGACCTTGCGTTTATACTGCACAACCTGCATGTCACAAATGTTGCGTCATCAGACATGACAACTGCTGGCAAACTACTCAATGGTAACGAAAGCGAAAGTAGATCTTGATTTTCCCGATCGAGCCTCGTTGTCACATACGCTTCCGCCTGCCGCCATAGCTGCCTATTCGCGTGAAAGTGAAACGTACTCTCCGGACCAGGAGAAGCTGAATGAATATAATATCACGATCACGACCGGCAAAAATAGTCTTGCTAACCACATCGGACTTGGTTTTCAAATATTCCAGTTCTGCGATACTGATACTATTTTGACAAAAGAAGGGACTTGAGATAGGTTTACTCACCCAAACTCAATCTCGTATTTTTCGCATTCCAGGATGCGTATTTTTCCCTGAAAAGTCGTATTCGCGTATGTTCTGCAAAAAATCGTACTAAAATACGTAAAATCGTACTGGTTGGCATCTCTGCTAAAAGACCACTGGTGTCAAATTTCAGTGAGCCTATGCAGCCTTTTCTCTTCTGTAAAAATCTTGTTTGTTTGTTTTTAAATAAAGAGAAACACATCGACACAATAATGGTCATTAAGTGCTGGGAAAAAGTAAGACAAACAGACAGACAGAAAAACAGAAAAAGTAAAGAAGTAGGACCCACCAGTGGCACCCTCCAACCACCCAAATACAAAGCTTGACTCCGGACAAAAACAGAACAGAGGGTATCAACAACAAAAACTCCCCTATAATGGGTACATACAAGTTTTGGACCATCAAGAAAGAAGCGTACCTTGCTGTTGGCCAGAGTTTCCATCAGACTTCTGGTCTTGCGCACATTGGCCTGGCCCAGAGATGGCACGGTCAGGACTTCCACCATCACGTTGTCCTTGTAGATGGACTTCAAATCCTCCGTGATCTGGAACAGAAAAATAATCGTAAATTTCAATTAAACAGTACATTTCCTTTGAGAAAGTGATCAATGTGCTTGAAAAAAATACAAAGAACACAAGTACCATCCAATAGTGATCCTTTCTCTCCATCTCTCCTTCTCAGGTCGGGCACGGACAAACGTGTTGAACAACTAAAGAGGTATCAGTCAGGGATTAGCATATCGTATGAGATATCTGCGACTTCAAGTTTCCAGTGCTTGTGTTTACTGTGTCCAAATGTATGTAGTGGGAATGTTAAAGGAAGAAAACAAGTTTAAAAACACAGGAAAAGATCCACTTGATTAATTTGTCTGTGTTCTGGTCAGAATCATATCCACATTAAAACAATTCTCTCTAAAAATTGTAGCTGTAAAAGTTTTAAGCCCCCATCGATGCAATTTCTATCATTCAGGGAGCAGGTTGCTTCAACTTTGCCGGTACGGGCCAACCTGGACTGAGGTGGACACAACGACTGGCTGAAGAGGTAGAATGACAGCGCCAGAAGAGAGAGAGAGAGAGAGAGAGAGAGAGAGAGAG